GGGCAGGCCTGTGCAACCATTGCGCTGGTGGGGGCGGTCCTGTTTCAACGCGAGAGTATGCCTTGACATCTCGCAGAACTGTATGCCAGTGTGCCGGTTCGCACTCGGGAAGACGCACCAGACAGTGCAGGGCACCTCTCTCTTCAAAAACGGGGCCCTCGCCCGATTTTGCAGGCACAGGGGCGCCTGGTCTGTCAAGGGGGTCGCTTCTGGCAGTGACAACAAAAAAAGCTTGCTGTAACTCAAGATGGGGCGACTCGGGACGGGGAGCGGATTGCAGAACCACTGATGGATCTCGGGGTTGCTCTGGCCCTCCTCCTGCTTCCTCCTCCTCCTCTTCCTGCTGCTTTTCCTCCTCCTCCTCCTCCTCCTCCTCCTCCTCCTCCTGCTTAGTCCAGCATCTTCGCCCCCACCCCTTACCACCCTCCTCCTCATCCTCCTCCTCCTCCTCCTCCTCCTACTCCTTTGCCTCCTCTGCCCCCGGGCACCTGTGTCCCTCAGGTCTCGTGCACTTTCCTCCACATCCTCCCTCCCTCAACCATTCCCACCCGTCCCCCCTCCACCACCACTCCCGCAGCCCCCTCCTCCCCACTTCCTCCCCCTCGACACTGACTCCTCCACGTCGCACCCCGAAGCCAGTCGGAAGAGCGGGCCGGGCGTCTCGCCCGGGACTGTGCCCCCGAAACTTGGAAATCGACAACGGCTTCACAGAGGGAGGGCGGGCCGCTTTCAAGACGTGGCTCTCGCCCCCGCGCCGCGCACACCTGTCCCAAAATGCTGCCAGGGCTGCACGGGTGGAGGGGGGGCTCGTTCTCACAGATGTGGCTCCTGCCTCCGCGCCGCGCGCACTCGCTTGAACAACTTACCGGATCTTCTTTTTGGGATGCGGGCCGTTTCCAAAATGTGGCTCTCGCCTGAGCTCCGCGCACATGCGTTCTAAGCATGCAAGGCCGTCGCAGATGGAGGGCAGATCTGTTTCAAAGTGTGGCTCGCGCTTGAGCGCCGCGCACGCTCGCTGTAAATATGTGCAAAAACTCTGCGATATGAGGGCGGCCCGTTTTTTTTCAGATGTGGCTCTCGCCGTAGGGCCGCGCACACTCGTCTTAACCAATGCAAGAGCTTCAGGGATGGAAGGCGGGTCTTTTTCTAAAGTTGGTTTTCGCGTTAGCGCCGCGCGCATTCGTGCGAACAACTTGTGGGAGTAGCACGGGTTCCCAGGATTAGCGTGTCAGAAACTATGTTTTGGGGGGCGATTCTGGATTGTCCGGGCGCAACAATTACACTGCTGCGCGGCGCTGGAGTCCCAGGAGTGGCGCTCTGGTCCCACTCGGCATCGACAGGATGCATCGATCACGTTGACTCGTGGCGTCGCAGTGCCGAGAATGGTGCTTTGTTGGAGGCCTGGAAATGGGCACCAACACCAACACAGGGGTGTTGCCTCCACAGTGGGAAGATGATCCTGGATTTCGGTGTTGGTTGCAATATTTCGGTCACCTAGGAAGCCAGAATATTACCACCATCACCGAGATCGGGATCTTCTTCCCTCGGTAGATGCACACCGCCGATCTTGGTGCTGGTGTCAATCTCTAGGCCTGCGACTTTGGCCCGTTCCAGGCTCTTCCAACTATTGTCCCCCAGCGGGGCAGCTCCCTGAGTGGACATGAGCCGCTGCAGCGGCCCATGAAGAGGAGGCCTCGGACGGAGGGATCAGCCCAGCATCGTTGATGAGCCTTGGGTTTGCACTGGCCCTCGTCCTCCCCCTCCCCCTCTCCCTCCCCCTCCTCCTCCTCCTCCTCTTCCCCTCCTCCTCCTCCTCCTCCTCATCTTGCTGCTCCTCCTCCTCCTCCTCCTCCTCCTCCTCATCCTCCTCGTCCTCCTTCCTCCTCCTCCCTCCTCCTCCTCCTCCTCCTCCTCCTCCTCCTCCTCCTCCTCCTCCTCCTCCTCCTCCTCCTCCCCCCCCCCTCCCCCCTCCTCCACCTCCTCCCCCCCCCTCCTCCTCCTCCTCTTCCCCCTCCCCCTCCAGCCTTGGGTTTGCACTGGTCCTCGTCCTCCCCTTCCCCCTTCTGTCTCCCTCTCCCTCCCTCCTGCGGAGAGGGAGAGGGAGCTGTCACCGAGGCTGGCTCAAGAGTAAATGGCTGCCCACAGGTAATGAGCCCCGCGCGTTTGCCCCCCCCCCCCCCCCCCCTCTCGTCCTCTCTTGGGCCTTCTCTGATCGTTGTGAGAGCGCGCCGCGCTGTCGACTTGGGTTGACGCACCGGTTCCTGATGACGATGATGATCTGCTCGATCCAATCACGAGCAAGATTTCCAGTGGAGCTCCAGCGCCACAATGTTTCTCGACCCCTCCCTGTAGCCACACGGTCAAGCCCTACTGGTGCAAACAGCCGTGACGCTGCGTCACGTCCGGCAGGAAACACAGATCGCCGCATGGCCGCAACTACCAGATCCGCTGCGTCACGACCAGCAAGAAATTATGGTTTTCGCATGGCAGCCGCTGCCTC